AGAAGATGAAGAAGAAGATGAAGAAGAAGATGAAGAAGGAAGAAGAAGAAGGAAGAAGAAGAAGGAAGAAGGAGAGGAGGAAGAAGAAGGAAGAAGAAGGAAGAAGAAGGAGAAGAAGCGGCGCCTGCCACTGCTAATCACGCGACGACGGCAAGGTCGGCGCTGTCCGCTGCTGGCGGGTAGCAGCGCGGTGGTCTGAGCCGCAGCAGCGGGGGACCGGCTGGCTGGCTGCAGCGCGGGCCGACGCGCATATCGGAATACGGAAGCAGCGGCAGCAGCAGTGTCGTGGTCGGAACGGTACCGCTGGGCCACGCCCCACCACGCCCCGCCACGCCCCGCCACGTCCCGCCACGCCCCGCCACGCCCCGCCACTACGCGGCCGCAAGGGGATTGCGATACTGTCATCGCCGTAACTAGTTTTTCGTTCGCCGCAAATCGACGAGGCGCCCCCCTTCGCTCCCTTCCCCCTCTCTCCTATCCTTCTCTCACTCACACTCTCTCTCTCTCTCCCTCCCTTTTCTCTTCGTCCCTAGAGCCTCAGTCCGTGCTCCCAGCCCTTGCCACCGCTCCACGAAAGGCGCGTACTCTCGGCGAGCCCGTGGTGCGGTTGTGGTGGAGCCAGCAGGGTGGGCGGCAGTGTGAGGGTAAACGCCCCCCCCCCTCCCCCTTCTCTTTTCTCTTTGCTCCCCGGGTTTTGGTTTCATTGCGGTTAGCGTGCCGAGTGAAATGTTCTTGCGGAGATGGAGTCGGTCGTAGCCAAGGCGGCGGGCGGGCGGCACTGTACCGCTACCGCCGCCGCTGCCGGCTGAGATCGAGCCCAGAGGGTGTGGGCGTGGCGGGGCGTGGCGTGCACCGCCGCTGAATGGAAAACGGAGGGTGCTGCAGCAGCAGTGGCGTCGTGGGCCCCCCCGACCGTACCAACGTGTTGCCCAGAGAGCACGAAGAGAAAAAGCCACCCGACCACCAGGCCCCTGGACTTTGTATTCAAATGTGTGCCAGCAGCAAGCCCAGACCCCGCCCACCCGTCCCGCCAGCGGGCACCCAGTAGGTTTCATCATTACTAGTGGTAATCCCTGGCCTGGCCCTTGTGTGTGTTTTTGTTTAATGTTTTTCTATTTGCTTTTACTGGTGGAGCAGCCCCCTGTTAGGAAACCCCGCTCCTCCATCACGTCCGCTTTAATGTGTAAGGAAAAACTTGGTTTACTTTTTCTCTTCTATCTTACTTCCTCTTGGACCTCTCTTCTCGCCATTCTCGCCTTGAACACCCCCTCCCTGCCCCTACCCCTCTTCCTCCTCTTTCCTTCCCTTAGCGCCAACAAAGTCCCCCCTTCGGAGCTGCACCTGATTTTGCGTCTCATCAGCAGGACATTGAAATGCATCACTTACCACGCAAAGTGCTGACGTGTTCTCACCCTCCTCACTCTCTGTCTCTCTCTCTCTTGCCCGCAGACGCGCCCATCGTGTCCATCTCGCTCGCCTCGGCCGTGCAGACCGACCAGCTGAAAGAAGGAGACAAAATCAGCCTACGCTGCGATGTCCGTGCCAACCCGCCCGCCGACAGAGTGTCGTGGTATCATGGGGTGAGTAACCACTTTTCCCTCTTTCTCTTTCCTTCGCGCTCGCTCGCTCCTTGCGTCTCTCTCGCTCGCTCCCTTGGCGTATTCACACGAGATGAGTTATTTTACTATTCCTACGATAATGCCGTAATCCTGTGACGAAGAGGTGCCTAGGGACGGAACGGCCAAGGAGTGGGGGGGTTTTAGGGGGGTGGGGAGGTGATGTCGCTTCACTTTATGTGGAAGAAGAGGTCACCTTTCTTTCACGTGCGAGGCTGTGAAAAGGAGATATGCCCACATATCCCAAGTGTGTTAAAACCCCTTTTGCAGCAGCAGCGGCGGCAGCAGCTCGCGCCTTGGCTTGTGGTGCGGGACACGACGCGCCCGGGATTACGCGATTATTTAATTATTACATTACAGCGGGCGTTAACAGGCGAACCGGAACGGGAAGTCCCGCTCGCCAAACGGCGGCAACAAGTTGGCCGCGTGCCACCATCGATGAGGAGTGGCCCAGTAATAATGGAATCTCATTTTAAGCCCGCGCGAACCCAACCCCAACCCATCCCCGTACCTTCCCCCTCTAACCCGCATACTATACTACACACCCCGGGATCCAGCCATTTTTCAAACACATTATCTGTGATAAATTTGTCACCGCACCCGAATAACTCGTGGAAAGATAGTGCGTGCGTCGACCGTGTAGTAACGTAAAGACGCACTTTGTTACGTACCCGTTCTGTGCGTCGCTTTGTGTACCCCTTCCGACAACATCCTTATCTCTCATCCTCTGCTCCCCTATTCCGTTTACTCTTTCATTTTCTATCGTGCTTCTGCGAAACCCGACCCACCGGCCACCGGGTTCTCTAACGACCAAGACGTCGTCTCCTGTTTAAATAAAAAATGGCGTCCCATCCTCCCACTGCGAATAGTTTTTTCTCACTTTTGTCGTACATAGTATAACGCACGCTGTCGGGAAACAAAATCATCCCGCGTAAAGTTGTATTCGTCGAACCTCTCAAACTGGTTATGAGAAGTAGTGTAATCGAAGATAATTCCCGGTTACTTCATTGAGGGCCTCACAATCTTTCTTTATTCAGAAATCCCTACCATCGACTTCAATAAAATCATGGCAATCAGTGTGTAACTGGACTTATTCTAAATTTATTATCTAAACTATACGTTAAAACGCAGTGAATTGCGTGCTACTACATGTGGTACGTGACCGTTCGTTTAAGTAGTGTGGTATGCGGTCGGTCGGTGCCAACTTGCGCGAGGCTGTTGCGGCTCGAGGCGCCTTCCGGGTAGGCCATCCCGCCGCGCACGCGTGTGCCCGCGGTGCCTACCTCCCAGGCGGTCGCAGAGCCTCGACCCGTCCACGGCGCCCGGCGCGACCACCCGCCGGAAAGACTCTCGGACAGCGAGGCCCTTCATTCTGCGCACAAGTCGCAATATGCACTGCCCCGCTGTGACGCCCAAGAAAATGTTTTTCGCTTCCGGCCAAGTAATTTCCCCCTCGTTTCCTCTTCCGGTCTCTCGCCCTCTTGCGACTCTCATCGGGCGGCCTCGCCTGCCCGTCCGTCCGCCCGCCTTGGGCTGCCCGTCCAGCCGCCCGCGGTGGCATCTTTCTTCTTTTTCTCTTCGCCACCAGTCTTTTTCTTCGTGAAGCGCAAGTAACGGCAGCAGCTCTCCCACCCCCCTCGGCACCAACAGCCCTCAGCGTTTGCTTTGAAGAGTAATTGGTCCCCCCTTAAGAAGAAGGAAGAAGAAGCGTTTGCTTTGAAGAGTAATTGGTCCCCCCTTCCTCCTGCTTCCGCCTGCCCCCGCGCCATATTTACTTCTCGGGGGACAGTTTCATGGTACCCGGCTGCTGCTAAGAAGCGGCCGGCCGCGCTCCATTTACCTACGACAGCTGTGCGTGGCGTGCGCGGACCTGCAGCATTGGCAGGGGCTTTTTAATACGCAGGCATGGCGTGGCCCACCGAGTGCGGCTCGTCTTGTGCTTCATGTCTTGCTTTTATCTCGGGTCTGCTTTGCAGCGCCGTCATCTTTGCTTTGCTGTGTGTATGAGCGTCACTGTCTGTGTGTATGCCGAGTAATGAAAAACACACCTTGATGTTTTCCAGCTCACCGTACTCGCAGCACATAACGGGCGATGGACATTAGAAGTCGAGCATTGGGGCTTTTTTATTTACCTGTCTTACTATCTCTCTCCGTCGTTGTTTCTACTTACATTTTGCGTACTCGTGCGGTTTTTTGTCGTGGTTGTTGTCGTGGTCGTTCCTCACCCTGTACCCGTCGTCGGCGCTGAGAGACTACTCGCTCAGCCCATTACGCTCGTGTCTGTGTGTGAGAGAGAGTGTGTTTGTGTGTGTGTTTGTGGCTCTCTAGTCCGGCTGCAGTGTGTCCTGGCGGGCAACAAGTTGGGCTGGCCGAGTTGAGGTGGTGGTGCGTATGGGGTGCGCGCCCCCGTGGCTGCGCGACATGAGATCCTCGGGGAGTGGCCTGCGCCGCCGGCACCGCCCCGCATCCCGCCCTGGCCACCTCATGAGGGGTCACGGGGCCGCACCGCGCAGCACTCCGCATCAGCAGCGTGCAGCCGACATCACACACCACCCACCGCATGCAGGCCTCTCCCCGCTATGACTCTGACCCCGCTTTTTATTACAATCATAGCAAATGCCTCGCTGGCTGGTTGAGCTAAAGTGTACGTGTTACGCTTTTATCTGTGCAAGGCACAATTTTACGTATTTTACTATCTTAATACTTCTTTAATGTGTAGATTCAACGAATTTTGCTCAATGTAGTTAATGTTTAGTGTTTCTGATAAACGTGAAGAAACACTGAACATTAACGTGATGTAGGAGAATACTTAACGTGGTGTGTAAATGACGTAATGCGTGTGTAAAGTAGGGCGGCGGCGAGCGTGCTATTCACCCCCCCCCCCCCTTCCTCCGAGTGAATCATCGTTGCATCCTCTTCGCACCGCCGAAGACTCCCGCCCCTTGAAAATCTCGTGAAAAATCCCTTGTCGATGGGATTTCGTAGTCAGGCCTGCCGTGCAGCTCTGACGCACACCCATACCTTTCCTGCTCGCGCCCCATTTTTTCCTCCTTCCCCGTTTCTCTCTCTCTCCCTCTCCCCCCTCTCCCCTCTCCCTCCCTCTCTCCCTCTTTGGCGCTGTTCTTCCCCCCCCACCACCACACCAATCTCCCGCCCACTCTCTCCTAGTTTTTTTCTCTCCCCCGAGTGTGCACACCTGGGCCACAACGCATGTTGACCGGTCCGCAGCTCGCAAAAAAAGGAGCGAGCGCTTCGAACTGGACGAAGATGAATGGATATTGCTGATCCGATCAAAACCTTCCCGCCGACTAACACGGCACCGTCTAAAAAAGTAGAAGCAGGGCATTACTTTCTACTCAAGTCTTTTTTGCTGACTCACTCTTCTCTTTTAAAATTATTAATTCGATCCAGACTAAGTCGACTTACGTGGGGTTGGTTGGGGTAGTCCCCAGCTGCTAATGGTTATGCGAAACAAGTTTTTACGCTACTGTACCAAAAATACCGCATCCCTTACGCGGTTTTTCGAAATTCGCATGCGACGCCGTCTTTTATTCGCCTTTTTTGCGAGTGTAGCATCGCGGGGTCGACCTCCGCCTTAAATCAGGATGCAGGAGTCCCTGCGCCTCAGTTTTCTTGCCATTTGCCACTTCTCTCTGGTGCCCTGAGAGAGTTTGCTTCTAGATTTTCTTCCGCCGCAGCCCCACTTTGGCCGTACGTGAGAATACTTTTCAATGAGCACGAGTTTCTGCTGGGGTTCAACTTCTCCCTTTCTCTCTGTCGTTCTCCATGACCTCTCCCCCCTCCCCCTCCTCGGCCGTCTCGCTCCCTGCCCCTCCCTCTCTCTTCCATCCCCTGTCCGCATGTTTCATTTGTATCGCAGGCCACATCCCAGGATGACCCTTCTACCCGCGTAAACAGTGTGCTTCGGGAGCAAGATTTTATCTTATATCGAGAGTAAAATGCTTTCTAATTCTCGTTTCAGTTGCACAATCATCACAATTTTTTCAGTAATTTGCTAATTAAAAAGGAATGTGGATGCTCAAAAGCTGTTCTAACAGCGAGGTTGAGGTGTTCTGCTCCAAAATCTGGCAACGCTTTTTTTTGCTGTGCCTGTGAGCAGCGTGCCTCGATGGGGATCTGTACAGCGAGCCGCGGACGTGCCCCCCCCCCCCCCTCCCCCCCCCCTCTCCCTCTCTCTATCTCTCTCGCACTCTCTCGTGCTCTCTGCTTGTACTCTCGTTTATTCTCTCATACGCACAGGAATTCCCTTCCGCACGCCCATCCGTTTGCGGTGCGAAGGGTTTGTATATATGCTTGCCTTTGGGAGTGTCGGGTCAAGTGTGTGTGTGTGTGAGTGTGTGTGTGTAAGAGTGTGTGTGTGTGAAAGAGAGATAGAGAAAGAGAGGGGGTAGAAGGCGAAAGGGGGGAGAGACGACGACGGGGTCGGGCGTCGTGCTTGCGTGCGTTGTCGTACGCGTCTCGGCGTAGCGACGCAGAGTGGTAGATCAGGGTTGACAACCTCAGGGGGGCGACACACAGAATATAAAAAATATATCGAGTGAGTACTTAGGTCACTTTGTGCCCCGCGCACGTCCGCCGTATCCGTCACACCCCTGCCCCCTCCCCTTCCCGACCTTCACCCACCTCACCCCCTCCCCAACAAGAGTACCCGGTCCGCCCGCCCGCACTCCACCCCTCTCCTTTTCTATCCCTCCCTTGTGCACTTCTCTAGTCCGGACTATTCCTCTGTCCTAGCGTTGCTTTTACACCCCTCCCCCCCCCCCCCCCCCCCATCGACTTCAATAAAATCATGGCAATCAGTGT